CCCTGCAAAAACCAGTGGCGAGGTCACTTTTGCCACATGCGCAAAGTGCAAAATAAAGAGTAATCACCATGGAAACCAACAGAATTTCTCCCAACATTTATCACTTTGCTAGAATAGCGCTTTTTTTTACTTTGAAACATAACCCCATGGTATTGTGACAGAGACGCTATGTTTTCAGCACAGACAGAAACAGATAACGATGGATCTTCTGGAAGGAATTATCCTGGGATTTTCCACCCTAAATCGAGTTACCGAGGATTAAAGATTAATCAGATAACCAAGTGTTATTCCACCTTCTTACCTATGATACTCAGAAACACAAATCCCCAAATAAGTGGTTACATTTTACTTACAGAATATAGTCCTTTTGTATTATAATAAGATTAAGCCTCACACTTACCCTGATTACATTGGTTTTGTGTAATTGAGTTTGTTTTTTTAACACATTTCGTTAAATTAAAACACTTGCCCTAGAGACGGAATTTGCAGCCAATGTTAGTAGGTTTCATAAAAGGGACCAGCAAAAATGTGGTTTCTTTCTTTGTTTTGTTGGCCAACCTGTGATACAGGTTCCTCCAGCAGATATACCAGGTATAAATTGTCAGTACTGGAGAGAGCAGGGCATTGCTTCCACAGAAGGGACAAAAACAGGTTAGTGTGCTTTAAATCTGCTTAACTTTGCATTCTTAGTCTCCAAACAGTCTGTCCCAAGGCTTGTTAACATGGCATAATTCAAACATCATCTTGTATGTACCCACTAGGCATTGAATTGGGGTGAGCAGACTAACATGGTTTTATATACCTGACCTTAAGTTGTATTAATTTGAAAAAGAAATGTAAAAACTCATTTAAAAATGCTTGTTTGGAAAACTATGTTATAGCTACAGCTTGGCTGGTTTAACTTAAACTATCAGTTTTCTGTTTCTAAACCAATTTAATGTTTAGCAAGTCCATTCCACAATGTTTTCCTAGTTCTATAATGGGTGGTTTATGTCAGTTTGAGTTTGTTGTAATATATAAGAAATATACAAAATGAAAGTATAACTTTAATACTATTGAAAAGGTACTTATTAGTTATTAGGTCATGTTTAGATGTGCTAGAGTGCTTTTATATTAAACATATATTCTAAAAATATTGAACATGATCGGACTACTTAGTGTCTAGAAAAAAAAATTGTGTCAAAATAATTCATAAATAATAATGAATTATGACCTGAATTAATTTGTATTTTTGGATATACTTTTAAACGTATCTTTAAATGATAAAAAAATATATATATCATTATATAAATGAAAAAAATTTTGGGGAAAATATTTAAAAAAAAATTTCAAAATGTTAAGTCATTTAAAAAGTGTATTACAAATATTAAATTGAGGCCTAAAAAGTTCTCAGGTTATTTACTAAAATTAGATTTTAAAAATAATTCCACATTTTAAAACAGTTTAGTCAAACTCAAAGTATTGCTGGTTTGGAGAATTTTTTGCAGTCTGGCTATTTTGAGCTTAATTTTGAAATTCTCTTTAAATTCACATTGAATTCTTCATTTAAATACCCATGTAAATACTTTTTTTCTCCATTAATATAATAGATTTATTGGGTTGCATTCCAAGTAACTGTTCATTATTTGTACATATACATTTATTTACGTGATTATTTATTTCTTAATTTTTGTATTGTATGCTTTTATTTGAGGGATTTCTTTGAAATCACAATTTTTAATGAATATGTTATATGAATAACGCATACATTTATGAAATAGGATATAAAAAGATTACTTTCCCTTGAATATGCTCTTTAGCCAATGACACGTCACATTCACATTCTTTTAGGAAAAAAACCTTTTCAAAAGATTTATCTACAGAAGTCGCCATTAAAGACTGTGGGAATTTTTGTAGATTTACCTTTTTCAGAACATTCCGAATCATTAGATTTTTTTTTCTAACAGAATGGAATCATTGATTCTGATTCAGACAAATTAAACAGAAGCCATTGTGCACTGCACCCAACAAGCAGTGCTAATGCTAGAAAGACAGCTCTGGAAAAAGACCTTTATTTTTAACGTACTGCAGACACCTTCTCCGTACCGCAGTTACTTTCTCTAATTTGCCTTCTGATAAATTAAGATTTTGCATGGTTGCTTTAAAAGTTAGTTAATTTATTATGTGTGTATTTTTTTTATAGTATTTTTATCAAGTACATACCGTAGTTTGCATGATGGTGTAGTGGGAAAATGTGATATATCCCTGAATTAATTAATAATTTAATTAAAAGCCACGGATACACATAGTTTATTTCATTACGGAATATGACTGCTAAATGTCCATTTCAGTAAATTGCAAACATTTATTCCTAATTATTATCTACTGGGATTAGAAAAATAGAACATTAAGACATAGCAGATAAAATATGAAATATTTCCTAAGTGAAAATGACAGGTAGCACATAATGAGCGTTACATGCGGCTTAATGTACTCATTCCTCTCTGTCTCCCCTTTGTGTGGCCCCCATCTAGTTTATGATCCCATGAGACCCCCACCTCTCTGCCACTCAAGTGACCTCTGTCTAGATTTCTGATTTGCTTAGTATGTTTTTCAGTTCCCTAAATGAAGGTCAGAAAGCACAAGTTGTCCCTGCATGACATGTGCACGGTCGCCTTGTCGGCATCTGCATAAACCCCACCAATACCCATTTCCAATAAAACACTGACACCAGGGTTTTGGCAAAATTATTTCACAGCTTTATTGATTCTTAACATAAAATATAAATAAATATATGACCCACCCCCACATAACATAATACCCAAACATTGTAACATTTAACTTAACATTGAAACATGACCATTGCCACCAAAGGGCACCATCCATTGCCACCAAAGGGCACCACAAGTGTAGGGGCATACCGAGACACCCCTACACACCCCGGTTCGGAGCTACCTATGAGCTCGAACCTACAAAACCAGTCCAAAGGTTACCTATTAACCTAATAGGTTTCCTATTAGCCCTGAACTCCAAACTTTTTCCCCATCTCACTCTTTTCTCCCCCTAACTTTAATCTCCATCCCCCGCCACAGCTCAAAGCTCGACTCCTCAAGCTACTGAGCGACACCCCCCCCAGGAAAAAAATTGCCCTCTGTTGGCCCTCCTGGAAACCCAGCAATAGAACATCCAAGCCCACTTCGGAGAGATGGAACCCATCGCGCCTATAATAACCCAGAAGCATGTCTTCCTGTGCCTAATTACAACCAACCCCAACCGCTTCACATCCGCTGCCATCACCTTATTAACCTTTCCCTTAATCTTCCGACCATACCACCATAACCGCTGGCACTAACTCTCTCAATTTGTCCACATCCCTCTTCATACACTTAATCAATACCTTTTGAGGTAACGACCCCACTTCATTGCCCCATGTGTGAAGCACCGCTATGTCCGGAACCTGTCCAAAAATAATTTTGTGAAACATTTCAACACAGATAGAATTCCAACCCCAACCCCGGTAACCAAACCACCGAAGTTGAACCACGGAACTTGGAAAGCCCAGCTGTAGACCACAATGTCGAACTGCAACTCTCTGATGCACCCAGTATATGTATGAGTGGCCGACCACCCATGCCATCCGACCTGTAAGACATAAAGCAAACATAGACAAACACAAAACAAACATCGAAACAACATTCCCCATTAACCACACTTAGTCCTTATACCAACTTGTCTGGCCTAACGTAAGACCTGAACCTCAGCGACTCCCACCTGCCAATCCTTTTCACCCGATCATCACCCAAGCCCAGTATCGCCGCTTCAGTAGCCGTGCCAATCCTAAAGGAATGAGTCCCGAATTGGCCAGAGTCCACTCCCAACCTTGCCAACGCCTTCCGAAAAACCCTGAAGAACTGGAACTTCGATAGCGAAGAGCCGTCCTCATGCTTAAAATATGAACCCCCTGCCATCACCCGTACCTCCTGTAAGACCGCTGCACACTTAACCTGGCACGTTCTCCCACCCGGGAGCTCCCACAACGTAACCAACGTCCCCTTGCCCATTACATCTGTTTTGGACCACCTCAGGTTGATCACTACCTTGTTACTCCCCACTTCCACATCCACTGCCTGAAGCCCCCCGGACCCCTAACGATTGCTGCTGACCAGCTCGCTGACATGAAATGCCCCGAAAAAGGCGAAACTAAAAACCACGAAGAACAGCGTAACTTTGTATCCTGAAAAACACACCACGGTCCCGAAAAACAATATTAAAACGCATACAGAACAAGACAAAACGGCGAAGAAGTTGCACCACCGGGATAGAGGAAGCTGATAGCCCGTTCACTGCATCTACTACTGCCATATTTATAAAAGAGAGGAAGGAAACCGCGCCTTATATTAACTGTACATACATACACTTGGTATCTCTTAATTGATGTAGATAATTTATCCTCAAAAAAAGAGAACACAAAGAGAAAAATACAATGGTGCAGTATGTTTGACAAATTGAGAACAAAGGTGGTATAGAAAACGGAGGTATTTTAAACTCACATTTGTTAGAGCTATTTAGGAGCTCTACCGTAATTCGCACGGACGGTACAATCCCCGTCTCAGGATTAGAAGTCCAAAGTCTTCAGTACTCCAATAATATGGCAGTTTGAATGAGATGAAAAAAAGAGAGAGAAACTCCAATGGTGTAGTAACTCTATCTCCAAATATAGAGAAAATAAATGAAAGTAATTATACTCACATTTGCTAGAGCAGACAACTTGCTCTAGTATATAAGGCTTGCAGTGGTATAATCCCACTGTAGGATGTGTAGACCAGGAAGTGATGAGGAGAATAAATTTTAAAGTAAAAATGTATATCACATTAAAAGATATTTAATAGTAACAATAATCGCAATAATAAAACAAAAGGGCTATATAAAATAACACTTTACGCGTTTCGCCAGTTAGGCTTCATCATAAGTGTCATAAGTGTTATTTTATATAGCCCTTTTGTTTTATTATTGATAGCAACAGAGGACCTCATAGTCAATGAAGGAGGAGAAATAGCTGTGGATCCAGTTGCTGTAGTTCCTCCAGTGGCGGAAGAAACAAAATGTTAACAGATTGTCAGAGCCCGTGTGAAGAGATTCCTTTTCAGTTAGAAAAGATACAACTCTTTTGTAATGTCCTCCTTTTAGTAACAGAGTGACAATATTGACTCTATATTAAAGAGGACTAGAGCAGAGCAGAAACCTCTGTAGCTGGTGCGAATGAAAATAGAACAGCAGAGGGAGGGAAGTTAGGGGAAGTATTGTAAGGGGAAGAAGAAAGACGAGAGATCTCTTCTCTGATTGTAGAGATCTTGTCAGTGAAGTGAGTTGCAAAGTCTGTGGCGGTCAAGTTAGTAGGTGGAAGAGGAACAGCAGGGCGAAGAAGAGAGTTAAATGTGCGAAATAGTCGTTTGGGTTCGCGGGAGAGTGTGGTTATGAGGGTATTGAAGTAATTAACTTTTGCAGAGGAAAGAGCCAAGCTGTATGAGTTCAGCATAAATTTATAGTGGAGAAAGTCAGATGCACAGTGAGACTTTCTCCAACAGCGTTCAGCAGTTCTTGAGCATTTTTGGAGGTATCGAGTGAGCTTGTTTCATCAAAAGCGGTAAGAGAGAATTAATGGGAGAATTATGGATATAAAGTTACAATGCCCCCTATATTGTCTATGGAGTGGATTATATTTATCAATACTTTTAATTTCACAGCCAGCTATGTCTAAATATCAAACATTTATTATGCAGATTACAGAAATAATATTTATTAATGATAAATAAAAACCACAGCAATTCCAAATTTTCTAACATATAACGCACAAACTCGACAAATACCCCAAAGAGCTTGCAATCTTTTGCCGTTTCCTTTGCTGTACGTTGATACCCTACCTGATCTGTAATATACCGTGGGGTTACTGTATTACAGATCCAAGATTGGAAAGATGAAGACAAACACAGTCTTTCTGCTTCTGGGTTTAGGTGAGTTTTGTGAAATTCTAATATTGACAATGCAAATCTGGGGTTTTAAATGTGTTCAATAAATAATCAAAGTAGCAAAAAAAAAAAAAAGGAATTCTATAAATCAATCTTAACATTCATTTCACCATGCATTTCGTTCAGATATGGGATTTTAAAATAATGACAAAATACAGTTTATTTTAAATGAAGCAATTTTCAGAAAGGTAATTTAAATAACTCTGACATAGCAAGAACATTGTTTGCAGTCCCTCTGAGAGCCCTGCCTGAACGTATTCTAAGATACATTTGTTTAAACAGGAAGTCGATAAATAAAAAGAAAGTTACTTTCTCTGGTAATTAATATATCACATACTATTGTCATTAAGAAAATAGTCACCATGTTTATTCCTTAAATAAGATATTTAAAGGGACACTAGTCACCCAGACCACTTCAGCTCAATGAAGTGGTCTGGGTGCCAGGTCCCTCAGGTTGTAACCCTGCAGATGCAAACATAGCAGTTTCAGAGCTGACGGGGAGAATATTTTCTAATGTGAATTCCTGACGATTCTCGTTTTAGTAAATAACCGTGTTTATATTTTCTCTGGATACCTGGCAATGCACAGATTATTGAATAACCCTGTAAATTAACTCTTATTAGGTGTGATTAATCTCTTATGAGGTTATATTAGTATCAGATCTGTAAATGAGCAAGCTGTACTTACTTTCATTATTGGGTTTGTTTAAGCATGCAGTGTTATTGCCATCTGTATAATAAACTGATCTCCTGCTCTTTTAGTTCTGTGTCTGGCGCTGGTCAGTCATGCTGGCAGAATAACAGGTAAGGAAATGTTCACCTATTAAACAGCAATGCTGAGATTATTCAGCAAAATCAATCTATACAGTCTCTCCCTCCCTTGACTAATTCCCAACTTGTCCTGCTTTCCCTCTCTACCTTCCCACTTCCTCCCCCTCCCTTCTCTGATGCCCCAGTTGTCCCTCCTCCCCTCTCTAATCTCCTACTTGCCCCCTCACCTTTATTACTCCCCACTTGCTCCCCTCCCCTCTCTAATCTCCTACTTGCCCCCTCTCCTTTCTAACTCCCCACTTGCTTCACCTCCCCTCTCTAATCCCCCACTTGCTCCCCCTCCCCTCTCTAATTCCCTACTTGCCCCCCTCACCTTTCTAAATCCCCACTTGGTTCCCCTCCCCTCTCTAATTCCCTATTTGCTCCCCCTCCCCTCTCTAATTCCCTACGTGCCCCATCACCTTTCTTACTCCCCACTTGCTGCCTCTCCCCTCTATAATTGCCTATTTGCTCCCCTCCCCTCTCTAATGCCCTACTTGTGATGACCTTTCTAACTCCCCAGATGCTCCCATCCCTCTCTAATTCCCCACTTGCCCCCTCACATTTCTAACTCCGCACTTGCTCCCCCTCCGCTCTCTAATTCCCCACTTGCCCCCTCCTCAATTTTCTAACTCCCCAGATGCTCCTATCCCTCTCTAATTTCACTTGCCCTCTATATTTCTAACTCCCCACTTTCCCCCCTTCCTCTCTAATTCCCCACTTGCCCCCTCCCCTTTCTAACTCCTTACTTGCTCCCCCTCCGCTCTCTGATCCCCTAGTTGCTCCTCCTCCCCTCTCTAATTCCCCAGAAATCGAATAACATTCCTAGCTAGTACAAAGGCAGAAAAGGCTGTGCCAATAAGAAAAAAGTCTCACTAATGTAACAGGATAAAATAGGGTGCAATCATCAAGAGTTGGTAGTTGAAAAATTAAAATAAAATACAAGTCTCACTATAAAAGAGGATAAAAGTGGGGTTGATTTATCCGAATGGTTAAAATATCCGTATATGTGAAGAGACAACAGGTAGATAAAAACAACCAATAGTGCAATACGCCAGAGCCCAGAAGTGGTATTGTAGCAAAAACAGGTAATACACTCACATTACGATACGATACAATACGAACAAGTCCCTAATCCTAACCCTAATTTGAACCCTAACATTAACCCTAATTGTCCCATGTCCTAAGCTTAGTGAATGCACTAACTATAATGAAAGCGTAAAACTAATTTTACTTACCTTCCAGGACCTTGCTGTGGGGGAGTAGCAGGAGTGCTAGCACGCATGTGCAGCCCAGGATCCAGCTGATTCCCATCCCCGGAAGTGACGAGGGTAGGGGATTTTTATGGGTAGGGAATTTGATAGAACACCGGCCACACTCATTATCTGTGCGGTCGGCTAGCAGAGAAGATTGAGCACGCGATCAGTTTACATATAACTGATCACGTGTAGAGCATAATTTATGCCGGCCGCGTACTGAGCATGTGCTGCCGGCTAAGGGGGATGGATGGCGGAAGCGCCATGTTGTGGTTGGCGGTGAGAGCCGAAACCACATAATTGGATGCTAATTTAGTGTGGGTGGCGGCATGTAGCCGCAGTCTTTGGGAGATAGGGGTAGTTATAAAAAGGGAAGGGGGATTTTTTTAAACTATAAACCTTATACATATAACTATTAGAATACATATAGTAGGATACATATTGAACATATTTTAAGGTGCATAAATATGTCAAATAAAGCATGTTAAAACATATTAATACTGAAATGGGCAGCCAGTAAAAACCTTCCTAGCTATCCTATGGTCCCTAACTGTCCTGGAGCCTTCTGTCGGTGCCGATCCCTTCTACCGCTGTCACCCAATCACTGGCTATTAGAATGGCAATGTCCAAAATGTTATCCAGAAAGGTGGCAGTACAATGGAAGAAAGACAGAGTGGACACGGATATTCCTTCAGCATAGACGCAAAGTAAAAAGCAATGCTGACTCAAAGGGAAAAATAACCAATATGTTATACGTTAGGTTTGGGAGTGAAGGGGTTAACGTGCTTTGTAACACATAGGTTTACATTTAATTATATTGTTGGCTAAGCTCTGCAAATGATTTAATATTTATGGATACACTTTTAAAGTGACCATAATCATATAGTCACACAGTAAATTGATAAGAATTGTAACATCGTCCTTTCTACTCTTTCTTGCTCCAAGATGCCCACATCTTTTATCAGACCGATCACTTTATCATGACATTATTGCACAGTCGTTATTCGGCATGTGCCAACCATACTTTAATAACACGCAGACACAGAAAATTCTGTTGGAGTATAAAGTCCACAGCTTTATTAATTAATATCAATATATAAATTAACACTTTAGGGTCATTGTCAACAGTACTCCTTCGTTAGGCTCTCTTCCTATATCATACCCCCGACAATGACCCTACCAAAACAAACATTAGCATAACCAATAATACATACACGTAACCCAACGGCCTACCAAGAGGCCCCACATCCATTTGTCTAACTGCAGGGGTGTACCCAGACACCCCTACACCCCTTGGTTCGTAGCCACCGACGGGCTCGAACCTACCACCATACTTTTGACTTCCGGCCTACTCCAGCCTAGACCTTGGCCTACCAATTTCTTAACCCACCAAAATTCCAGTTTAACCAAGACCTTTTCCCGCCGCTGTGACCAAACGGGAACTACTACTAACTCATAGGGTGGGTGGGAGGGACAATTTACAGGTAAGAAAGGCTCAAGTTAGAATGAACTTACCCTAAAATGGCCGCTATTTAAACTTCCCTTCTAACCCACGCCCCCCAGCACAATCACAGGACAACCTCTTGACCTGAACTTCACCCTGCCTACTCCTGGCTCTGTCAAGGCCCACTCCTCCCTGCGTTGCTCCGTGGTTTCATGACATTATTGCACAGTCGTTATTCGGCATGTGCCAACCATACTTTAATAACACGCAGACACAGAAAATTCTGTTGGAGTATAAAGTCCACAGCTTTATTAATTAATATCAATATATAAATTAACACTTTAGGGTCATTGTCAACAGTACTCCTTCGTTAGGCTCTCTTCCTATATCATACCCCCGACAATGACCCTACCAAAACAAACATTAGCATAACCAATAATACATACACGTAACTCAACGGCCTACCAAGAGGCCCCACCTCCATTTGTCTAACTGCAGGGGTGTACCCAGACACCCCTACACCCCTTGGTTCATAGTCACCGACGGGCTCGAACCTACCTCCATACTTTTGACTTCCGGCCTACTCCAGCCTAGACCTTGGCCTACCAATTTCTTAACCCACCAAAATTCCAGTTTAACCAAGACCTTTTCCGCCACAGCACTTGCCTTGACCCCTTAAGGACATGTGCGACCCCCACCACACAGAAACAGGGCTTGCGCTATCCCATCTTGCAAACCTAAATTAAAAAGGTCATAACCAACATCCGATAAGTGCACCCCGTCATCACGAAAGTAACCCGGTAATCTCTCTTCCAATTCCCGACGCCTCACCACCACGCCTCCTAACCTTCGAATGAACACCGCCATGGTTCTGTTCACTTTACCCCGACATCGAGAAATTGCCTTCTCATCCCTGGCGTATCTCCAGCATAAACGAGGTACCATCTCCGACCATACCACTTTCACGCCAGGGATAAGCCCCCTTAGTCTGTCAACGTCTTGCTTCATACACTTAACCAGTTCACGTTGGGGAACCAGACCCAAGTCGTTTCCCCCCCCGTGAATTACCACCACGTTCGGCAAGGGCTCCTCTGCTACCTTCCGAAACAATACCGTAATAATGTGCTGCCAATCAAACCCCCGATAACCGAACCAGAATAACGCCACCCGATCCTCAGGAAAGTCCAGCTGTGTTCCGTGTCTTCTAACTGCGGCCCTCCTCCTTGCCCAATGGATATACGAATGGCCAATTATCCACACCGTCCAACCTAAAATAAAACATAACAGTGAGGAAACAGCACCAGCACATCCCAAACACCCACAATCAACCACCCCTTCACACCAGCCTATCTGGCCGTACGTAAGAGCGAAACCTGAGAGATTCCCATCTCCCAATTCGTCTAATCCGCTCATCCCC